TTAACCAAAATAACCAATTTAACACCAGATTATCATTAAGTGATAAAATTTTTCAGTTAGTGCATCAATTCGCAATTTATATAATGAACAACACATAACAATCCACATAATTGTAGTTAACCCTTAACTTAAATACATTTAACAAATACAATTATCTTACATTTGACTTTTGAGTGGTTATGCAAAGTATTAAGTATGTGTATACAATATATATTAGATATATGGCAAATTACTTAACTGGTTAATTTGGTTTGATTGGTTAGGAGTGCCTGAAACCAAACCAAACCACCTAAACCAGACAAGCTAATTTTTTTAACCAAAACAAACCAATTATCGAAATTAACCAAACCAAATTAGCCAAATACTACTGGTTAAAATGGTTACCACGGTAACTAGGGGTGGTAAACGGTAATCTCGTAAATGGTTTACCGTTTTACAGAACCGGTAACCGGCGGTAAACGGTTTACCGTTTACCGGCGGTATCGGCAGCCGAGCGGGAACTTGGGGAAGTCGGTTTACCGGACACGGTATCGGTAAATACCGACGGTAAATCGGTAATACCGATACCGAAATCTCCCCTCCCTACTCCACCAACATATAACATATACATCATTATTCACAAATATAAAATATTACATACATGAATGTAATTAAGTATAGGCATAAAAAATATTGTAAATAAGAGTTAATAATAAATTATTCATTACAAAAATGATGAAAAAAACTCAAAAAAATCAAAATATTACATCATCACCCCACTTCCAGAAATTCGGTTCGGTAAATATTCGGTAAGCCGACCGAAAAACCGCCCGAAATCGCTTCTCACGGTATTTCGGTATTACCGGTTTGTAACCGTTTACCGATAATTCGTTAATCGGTAAACCGGTTACAAATCGGTATCGGTAATCGGTAACCAATTTGACCAACTTCGGTATACCAAAACCGGTAAATTCGGTAAACAATTTACCGTTTACCGACCGAATCCCACCCCTAACGGTAACCACACCGTTTTAACACCCCTAAATTCAAACCAGAGGAAAACTACTCACCACGCCTGATGCAGTAGTAGGAGTTGTACAACCTCTTGCATTTTGGCCTTCATTGCCAAACTTCTTACAATGGATTACTGAACCCCTTCTAATTACTTCCTCTCCTTGGCCATTTCGTTGCGGTCGAACCTCCTGCTCGTGGGCAGCATTTCTTTGGTTCTTCTTGGGCCTACCAGACATACTTCTTTGCTTCGGTGGGTATACGGAATGTCCCTCAGCAGCAGGAAGCAGCTCATGTATTTCCTCTGCTAACCCCTGCAAGGTAAACAAACAATTAATATAACCAATCACCCATGAGTTTAATGAATTCAGATAATTTAAATCACTACCTTTTGCTAGTTCGAGATGACAGACCAGCCCCTGACGTCTAGTAGTTGCAAATCTTGAGCTAAGGTGTTCATAAACCATCTCCATGAGTTTGTGTTTTCGCCCTCTACAACCGCCCAACCAATTGAGAACATTTGGTTGTTGCTATCCTTACCAATAGCCGTAAAAAGCATGTCTTTAATCTATCCCTTGGGAAAACAGCCGTCCAATCCGAACATTGGATGACAAGCTTCAAGAAAATCATCCCTTAATGCAGAGAATCCTATGCATATTATTTGGGAGTAAACCTTGTATTGCGTAGAGTGCGGTTCAACTCCAAGAATGAAGTTCCCTCTAGGATTCTGCTTCACCAACTCACCCAAGTAAGACCTCACCATGTGATACTCTTCCACAAGTGAATCACTCAACATTTTGATAGCACAGGCCTTTGTTCTGTAGTAGGTTCTTCTTTTAACTTTCATATTATGCTTTAACTTCATCTCGGCCATGATTTGATCAGGTGCCAACTCGGGATTAATTCGGAATCTTTCGAGCATATCACCAGCAATCCCGTGGGTAGTTACTTGGTTGACACACATCTGTCTTGCACAAGAATGTGGCAGACCGGTCTTCATCACCATAAAGCTATGATTCCGCCTAAACTAGCTAGCACATAACCTCTATTTGCAGTTCTTGTCCTTGAACTTCACTTCTATTCTTGATAGATTAACCATAACCCATCTCAAACAGGCCCCGACAGCGACAGAGTGGCGGACCACAACACTCTTAAATTCCTCTGGACTAGCAAACTTCATATGAGACACAAACTGGAGAACATTGTGGTCACAACCCGGATCATATTGTGGTGCATCATCGAATAGTTCCCCACCATCCAAATCAAAAAGGTTTTCTCTCATATGATTTGATTATTCGGAGAGCCTATAACTCGAATGGCTCGAGTCTGCTCTCCTTGCTTCCTGGATTGGAGGTACCTAGGCCGGTTGGGCATCTTCCTAAGCTTTAGATGCACCATGACCTTCATTATCGGCAACCAATCCATCCTATTCAGAGTCATCATTCAAGGATTCCTCCTTTTCAAAAACATCAAGCTACTCAACCTCCTACCCATGGCCATCAATACGTGCCTTCACCTTCATTTCCTTAATCTCCGCATAAGCTCGCGGATTTGTCATTGCTTCATGATACTCGTCATTAGATGTGTTTGAATCTTCTGAGCCATAAATATGGTATATATCTCGAGCAATAGAGGCCTCGACCCCATCTTCTGCAGCCATGGAAGCATCTGGATTTTCTTGAGCAGCGTGTGGATCATTCTTTCGAAAGGCCTCGTCCCATGAATCAACCATCTGTAAAGACAATTAATTAGTTTTTTAATCACCACTATCCCCATCATTAGCTTAAGTTAATAATTTTTAATCACTAACTAACAAACAATTCGAAAACAACAACGATTTACATTATTCAATTCTAGGGTTTTCACAACCACGAGTAATGACAATTCTACCCAGAAGATAGAGCTACTGACCATCAGATTTGGGGGCAAACTCGATGTTGGATTCAATCGAGTGGTCCCCTTGTTCTTCTGTCCTGTCGCTTTTGTTGTCTTTACACCTCGCTACCAACCAAAAAAGGAAGAGAAAGACACTTCTATAAGAACTTTCCAGCAATAATCAACACCCACAAGTACGAAGTTCAAAAGCTTTTCTCACTAGTGGCTACAGCCGACAGACCACAAAAATCCCCCTTTTCTGTGCGATGAGGGTTTCTTGTAAGAAGCAGCCTCGCGTTTCCTGCAGTTCGATTGTGAGGTCGTCAGTCGAAAAGAAGTTTTAGAGGAGTCGGCCAAAGCTCTTCGCGGGTTAGTCAACTAATCGGATGCATGTGCGTCTTCGTCGAGGAAGGGGGTGAGAACGGTAGATCGATGACGGGAGGTGAATCGGGAGTAGAGGAGGGGGCTAGATCGATGATGGTTGGAGGAAAATCAGGGGGTGCGATGGTCGTGGGAGACAGATCGTCCGTCGGTGTTGGACGATCGTTTTTCGTCGCCTTCCTCAGCAGGCGAAGGGTTGGGGGGTTCGAAGGAAAAAGAGATAAGGGTCGATACATCTGGTCAAATGAGGGGTTTAGAAATTTTAGTTGGTTATTTTTTTACTTAAATTAATCATTATCGACTAGGATAATTACAGAGGAATTGGGAAATAAGAGTTCGCCACGTAAGTACCACCGTTTGTCCAGTCAGAGTTAACGCTAACACCGTTAAAGAATTTGACGGAATTGACTAGAAGTGGCATTTCTCCAAATTTGGCTATTATTGACACAACCGTTAAAGTTTTAACAATACAAGTGTATAAAACCTAAAATAAATCTCCTAATTACCCTTTAATACTTCTCCACCTACTGGAACCGTAAGATCAATATGAAGTTCAGTTTTATTTTATAAATTTCTTAAAATTTTAAGTTTAAGAAAAGAAATTCACTCAATCTCGACTAATTTTTCTTATTTCCATTCCTTCATTTGTTTTTTACCTGCTTGATAATAATGAACCATAATTGTGCATAATTGAATGAGTTTGCATATGAAGAGTAAGGAGTGTAAGAAAGTGATTCTTTAAATAAGGATGGACATGATAATAATGCACCATAATTATGCATAATTGAAATACTTTACGTATGGAGGGTAAGGGATGTAGCTATATAGGGAAGTGGCCATTTATAACATATATGGCTATTTACAGTTTAGTATCCGATACATGGAAAACTTATATTTACATATGAGTTAATACCTTAGTTTGGTTCAAATTATAAATAAATTTTCTACTTTGGCCTGTGATATCGGAAATTGCTATTCTGGACTAAACTATGTAGCATACTTCCTTATTTTGTCCGGAAACGGGTTTGACCTTCAAATTAGACGGTCAACTGAGTTGACCGTTCGTCAAGGTCCAGCTCACTTGCCATGTCAGTTAGTAGGGATAAAAAATTATTTTTTTTTAAATTTATGCATTTTGTTTGCTTTCTAATAATAAAATAATAAACAAAAAATTAATTAAAAACCCCCAAATTTATACTCTCCCCCTCTCACCTTAATCGAGAAATAATTAATTTGGGGTTTTTTAATTAATTTTTTTGTGTAACTTTTATTATTATTAGAAAGTAAAAAATTAAAGAAGTTCAAAAAAAAAAATTATTTCCTGCTCACTGACGTGGCAAGTGAGCTAGACCTTGACTAACGGTCAACTCGGTTGACCTTCTAATTTGACAGTCAAACACGCCTCCGGGCCAAATAATGAAGTATGCTACCTAGTTCAGACCATAATATCAATTTTCGATACACAGAAAGTAAAAAATTTGTCTATAGTTCGGACCAAACTAAGGTATTAACCCTTTACATATCTGTCTAATGTCTATAATAATTTACATACTAAATGCTAGGTGATGTACATAAAAAAATGTGCATATTCATAACCGTTTGTGATTTGGTTGGGTAAAAACTTTATTTAACTGCTTAGCTTTGCAGTAAATCCTAAAATTCGATGACTTGAGTTGAAATTTGAGTGGCCACTTGTCCAGTTGTCCGCTAAAGAAAATAAGAGGATTTTTCGTTTTTCTTCATTTTCGCGGCAGTTAAAATGGAAATCTCAACCCCCGCAATCCAAAAGATCTTCACAGACCAGCGGAGTTCGAAGCACTGCTTTTTGGCCGACAGCCCCGGTGTTTCCCGCCTTTTCCAGCGCGACGATGAACAACCGGCAGGTCATTTCGGCGGTTCTCCTGCAACTCTTCGTCTCAGCATCCGCCGCGAGCTTAACCGATGGCGAATCGACTCTCCGTCTTCGGACGCCGAACGGCGACATGTGCGGTCAGCTCATCCAACCGGCCGGCTACTCTTGCACCGAACACACTGTACTATCTCTTCTCCCTTTCTCCGATTCGTTTGATTTCGGTAATTAGTAATCAAACGAATATAATTGAGCGAGCTCTTCAACCGACAATTTAATTTGTTAATATAGGTAGATATTTGGTTCCTTATTATCAGAATATGGCACCGGCGTTTATCTGGTTGCCGAGAAAATAATTGAGCGATGCAATTCAGGCCTTGTAGTCGCCACATCTTAACCATATAATATCATTTTGTTGTAATCGAAGAAAACAAAGGGGTCGGCGGTTTTGTTTGCTTCGTAGGGATGTTGACTTCGAGCAAGCAAAATGATGGATAATGGATTAGCTTCATGGGTTTCCCAATGATTTGAAACTGTAACTTGGATCCCATAGTTGACTCAGTGATTGGAATCAGATTATTGAGTGTTCATTTAGATTTCTATAAACAAGAGTTGATTTCATCAATAACTGGCGGATTGTCGCTTCAGATCGAAACTACAGATGGATACTTGTTGGCTCTCCAGAGGGTTTCCTCCAGAAATGGAAATATCACCTTGAATCGTGGTCCTCCCGTATTGCTTCAACATGGACTCTTCATGGTGAGCTTCATTTAAATCTACTTCCACCCTTTTATATTGAATCAAGAAGACACATGATATGATTGATTGTGATTCGGTTTGCCCTTGAAATTATCGTTTCTCTGATCAAAGTAGACTTGTTACAGTTTGTTGGATCTCGCCCTTGTCTGCTAAAAGGGCCAAAGGAGTTGAGTATGATTGTTTTAATAGTTTTCTATAGACAACCTATTTGTTCTGTTTGCATGTTGATGAATGCATCAGATTCACTCCGGTAAGAAGGATTGAATGAACTGCTTGTTCCCTTTCTTTGACGTAGGAATTTATCTTCGTTGGGGATTTGAAGCCTTTCGTTCATGGTTGAGATTGATACTTGTTTTTACTTCTGCTTTAGAGACAATTATGTATATGTTGCTTTTACGTTAAACCAATCTTCTATCCTCATTTTTAATATTTCTTTGGTAAAACCATCTTTACCGTTGATTTAGGTGGCAAGTGTTGAAATTTGTTTTTGAGTAGAAGTTTTCCTCGAGGGTATGATATCCAAAATTCATTGGTGTTTGAATAATCTTTCTTCCACTGCTTTAGCCAGCCCCCTCAGAGTATGAAATTATCTTACTAATAAGTAAAATTTAGAGTTTGTGATGTCTTGGGTTTAGCTAAGTTTCCAATAAATTTCGCAAATTACTAAAATGGAAGGAATGTAAGCTATTTGGGTAAGTTAGATGCCAAATTTTGTACAATTGGCATATTTTATAAGCTTGAGCATTTACAAGTAACTCTTCCAAAGTAAGACATACCATACACCAAAAAGAGCACCAATGCATTCAGAATGCATTTCAGCTCGCACTGTGTTATCGTGGAACAATCTGTATATGACATGCATATCTTAGTATCCCCTGTAATAAGTCATGAACTTGCTTGCTAATTGAGGGTTGTCTTATTGGTTCTTCTCATGTGCCTCGACTTCAAACTGTATACAGGCTGGTGATTGCTGGTTTCTGAATTCTCCTGAAGAGTCACTAGGCTTCATCCTTGCGGACCAGGGTTTTGATGTATGGGTTGGAAATGTTCGTGGGACATTCTGGAGTCATGGGCATGTATCTTTGTCAGAGGACGACAAGGTAAACCAGTATGTGTGGGATACAGACCATAGCTTGGGCAAAGACCAACTGACGACTGTAGATTTGCACGATTAGCTGTGCATTCCCTGTCTGCGTACACTGACTATCATTCGGCATATGTATATGCTACTTACAGGAATTTTGGGATTGGAGTTGGCAGGAGTTGGCGCTGTATGACCTTGCAGGGATGATTAGTCACATATATTCAGCCACAAAATCAAAAGTTTTCCTTGTTGGTCATTCTCAGGTCTTTCATTTCTTCCTCTACTTGTTGTTTTCAGGTGATTTGATTGTTCGAGTGTCTTATGTCTTTCTCTTGGTCGTATTCATTGACAGGGAACGATAATGTCCTTGGCTGCACTCTCACAGCCAAATATTGTGAAAATGGTTGAAGCTGCTGCGCTTCTATGTCCGATATCTTATTTGGATCATGTAACTGCTCCTCTTGTGCATAAAATGGTTACTTTACACATCGATCAGGTTGGTTTTATGCTACACATCCTTGCCTATTTTAGTCACACTGTCCGAACTCATTCTGACTAGAAACTGTCTGACATTTTTCTGGACAGATGATTGTTGCCATGGGAATACATCAGTTGAACTTCAGAAGGTTTTTTTGTTTATTTATCTCTGCTTGTTGATAAGTTCTTTGAAGTTCTAAAAAAGGAAGTTAGTATTTGTATTTTCTTTGTGTAAATTGGTATTGCATTTTTCTTCAGTGAGTTTTTGATCAACCTGTTGGACTCCTTATGTGCGGACCTTCTACATTGCGATAACATGCTGAGTTCCATAACAGGTACCCTCTCCTGTATGAGTAAATTTTTCCTGTCATTCGTCTTGGTGTGCTGAATATGCAGTTAAGGGAATCAGTTTGTTGTTGCTGTTCATCTTCACTAAAGTAGGCTTTGGTTTTCCTTATCATAACAGGATTATTCCTTCTCTGTTTTTAGCTATTCAAAAGGGTGTGTGGAGCTTTTCTCCAGCAGACTTTAGTTTGGTTAATCAAACATCTTCATATCAAGACATAGTTCTAGGAATTTCAGTCCAGTAGCTGTATCAGTTCTGCAGTGGAACGTAAGCTAGGTTGCTATTCATTCCAGAGATTACTGGGGTAGAATGAGGCACAGATGCTCTCGGTGTTCCTTTACCCTGTTTGAAACAAATAGATGAACATTGTGCATAACCTTGCAGGGGATAATTGCTGCTTCAACGATTCACGCATCGAATACTATCTTGGATACGAACCACACCCATCATCTGCTAAAAACCTGAGACATCTTTTCCAGAGTACGTATGCTTTGTACACTTCTAATTGGAAAGCATCACAAATTTTTAATACGTCAAATTTTCTTCCAAAACTTTATCTGCTAACACAAGCTGTTCTTTCTTTATGCTGTTCGTCACTTCGACAGTGATTCGGAAGGGCACGTTCGCGAAGTATGATTATGGGACGTTCAAAAACTTGCAGCTGTACGGGCAGGCTTCTCCACCCGTATTCGATCTAAGCCTGATACCAGACTCGCTGCCAATGTGGATGGGATATGGTGGTCTGGATGGGTTAGCTGACGTGGATGATATGCAACACACACTGAAGGAGCTGGTGTGCAATACAGAGTTGCTCTATCTGGAGAACTACGGTCACATCGACTTCCTACTGAGCGTTCGAGCCAAAGAAGATGTTTATGACCACATTATTGGGTTTTTCAGGTCGCTACTGGGCCAGTCCAGCAGTGCTTAGCATATGTCCGGGCCGGTTGGTTCAATTAGCTTTATGGGCCTGTCCCCCTTGGTTACGTGTGTGCAGAACTTGTGAATAGTTTATGTATATATCACGTCTCACTTGCGACTTGCGAGGGATTGGGGAGGTTCTGCTGGAGCCGGAGCCGGAGCCGGACCACGATCGAGAAGCTAATGCAGTAAGTGGACGGCCTCGCTAAAGAGGGACCTCAATATGGCCACGATGAAAATGCTATACGATTTCTGTGCATCTTTCTTGTTGTGCATTGGAGATTTGGCGTTGTCTTTCCAAACGAAAAAATGTAACTATAGTAATACAATTACCAGTACATTTCCGTATGTGTCAGTAGACCAGGGTCACAATTTTTCTGAACCGGGATCCGGATAGGTGATGTTTGCTTAGCGGTTAAATTATTAAATTGACCGGTAATTGATGGATAAAGGTTATATCGTAATAGATTATAAGTTAACGTTGCAGTTACCTGGTAAGTTAATATGACGTTAGGTTTAATCACTAACCGAATAATTAGTTAACGGTTTATTGACAACTAACCGAGTATAAATGTCCATGTCTTGCTCCCTTAAAATGATCATATCCCTCTCAAATAAATTCTCAAACAAACAATCTCGTCTCCTCATAATCCTTGTCATCTTTTTCAAATTTCCTGCCACTATGAACCAGAAATTAAAAGAGACAAATAGCATTACCGACTATGCAATTGATATATAGGCACCAAAGTTGTATTGATAAGATCATATTGCTTCTAGTAGAGGAAAGACTGAAAAATCCACGCCCTGTTGGGCCACAGCTGAGCAGTCTTTGGGCTCAGAAGCCCACAAGAGGCCCAAGGAGGGAGGCCCGCTGAAGGGCCCGAAGGGCAGGCATAGGGAACGGAGAAAGGAGGGCGTCCGCCCTAGGATGGGACGGGGAGTAGGACGCCTGACACAGAGAGCCGTTGCTTGATGGAGGACGAGATCTTTCATAAGATACTCACCTCGAACACAGCATGACCGAGCATTAAATGCTCGCCGTAGGCGGTCTAGATAAAGCATAGCTGTCCTAGGGCGCCTGACAATGACATTTAATGCCCGAAGCCCAGGCCAACCCACTATAAATACATTCATATCTCCATTGATGGTAACCCAACTACTCTCTCTCTCTCTAAACATAAACACAAACTCTTAATTCTATCTCTAACTTGAGCATCAGAGGGTGTCCAGGGCAACCGCCTTCGGACCCTTGTTTTGCAGAAGCTAGGAGTCCTCCACCATCTGGAACAGACGCATCACTCGTTCTTCACAAGACCGCCTAGAACATTCTAGGCTCAAACAATTTGGCGCCCACCGTGGGGCGAGAGATAGCGCTGAAGAAAAGATGGATGGGAGCTCCAACACCCCTGTCAAAGACATGATCGGAAGAAGCAACTCCCATGCACCAGACACACAGGCAAGCGGCATCCGAGGATTGGAAATGCCCACTGTGGAGGAAGAAATGGAGATGGAGGACCGCGTAAAAAGTCAAGGACAGCAAATATCAAGTATGCAAGAAAGCTTGGGCCAAATATTGGCCATGCTCAAAGAGAAAGAAAGCGAGGCGCCAGGAAGCTCAGGAAAGCGTTTGAACAAAGGAAAAAGAAAAGAAGGCGGTCCCGACAGCCCTGCTCGGACAGAAGGCGGGGAGTCCGATGAAGAAGAAGGCGCGGAGGATCTTAGCTTGGGATTCTTGGAGGAACATCTTAGACCCACGTATGGCAAGACCAAGGGTCCCACCATCCTCCAAAACCCGCTGGCTAAGAGCTTATTCAAAACCCAAGTTCCCCCAAACTTCTCATCACTCGGGCTGCCCACGTATGATGGAAGCTCGGACCCGGCTGACCATTTGAGCGCTTTCATGCTAAAAATGCAGCTCATCAACGCCACAGACGCGGATCTGTGCAAGGCGTTCCCAGTCACATTTAGCGGTCAGTGTAGAACTTGGTACACCTCCTTACCAGAGGGAATAATCGAAGACTTCGAGCAGTTCGCGACCCTTTTTTCCTCGAAGTTTTCATCCCAGCGAAGAAGAAAGTTAACGGTATCGTCACTGATAAACTGCAAACAAGGGGGGATGAACCGCTTGCGGATTTCTACGATAGGTGGAACACCATAGCCTGTGAAGTGCAGGGTATCTCACCAAGTGTGGCAGCAGGAAACCTGCGTATGTCCACGCATAGCCGTGAGCTACGAAGAGCGCTTATCAAGAAGAAGCATGCGCTGAAGGAATGACCCGATCTTGACCGCTTAGTGAGGAAGGAAATCCTGCTGGAGGAAGCTATGATAACCGAAGATGCTACCAAGCGCATCAATGCAAGAGACAAGGAGAAAAAGAAGGGAGGATCGCCTAAAAGGAGGGGGCGGTCCCCCGAAAGACGAAACTACAAACCACGGTACATACGTGACAACAGGAGGGAGGTTTTCACCACCAGCTGAGAAGAAAACAGGGATCGCAAAGGCGAAAGCAGTGCGCACCAGACGCATAGGAGGGAGGAGGACCGAAAGTGGTGTGACTGGCACCAAAGGCCCACCCATGACACCACGGAGTGTCGAGAGTTCAAAGCAAGCTTGAAATACTTGGCGCCCGGGGACCTCAAGAACCGCTTAGACACGAGACCTCATCGACAAGAGCAAAGACACCAAAGGAAAGGTCGTCAAGTCCGAGGAAGAGGTCACGCACGCCCAAGCGGGGGAGGTCGAGATCGCAAAGGAGGGACCGTTCCCCAAGGCGTGACCGCCTCCCGCAGCCGCCTAGGAGGTCGCCTCCCCGTCGACAACCGCGTGTGAACGAAGATGACATCGAAGTCATAACCATCGCGGGAGGGCGCAAGAGGCCCCGGAGTGAGAGGGAGCGCTTAGTTCAGTGTTTAAATGTCAACAGAAGTGAGCAAGTGGATATCAGCTTTTCGCCCTCTGAACTGGCTCCTGGTGAAAGCGCCGAGGACTCGCTGGTGATCTCGCTGAGAACAAGGAAATTTAAAGTAACCAGGGCATTGGTCGACAATGGCAGTTCAGCAGACATACTGTTCTACTCTACCCTCAAAAGCATGAAGATGAGCGTCCAAGACCTCAAGCCCTCCGCTACGAGTTTAGTGGGATTCTCGGGTTCAAAGATCAGAGTACTGGGTTTGGTCACGCTACAGGTGACAATCGGAGAAGCGGATGTAACAAAGACGCGCACGATGGACTTTCATGTGGCAGATTGTCCGTCAGCGTATAATGCGATCCTAGGACGCGGTTTCCTCTCATTATTTTCAGCGGTTCCCTCCACTTGTCACCAGATGCTCAAATTCCCTGTGGGCGGAAGAGTGGGGCAAGTCAAGGGAAATACCGAACAAGCTAAGGAATGTTACCAAGCAACAATAGAAAGCTTGGAAGTAGATTTGGTGGATACTCGAGGGGGGCACCCGCGCCCAGAAGCAGTAGAGGGAGACGCGGAGGTTGTTCTTGACAGTGAAGAACCAGAGAAGAAGGTGAGAATCTCCTCTCATCTCACAGAGGAGAAGGCGAGGGAGTTTTTGGCACTCCTCAAAGAATACAAGGACCTATTCGCGTGGACCTCTGAAGACATGCCAGGTGTCTCGAGGGAACTCGCCGAGCATCATTTGGCGGTGAAGAATAAGGCAAAGCCCGTTCAGCAACGAAGGAGAAACGCCTCCCTGGAAAAGCAGATGGCACTGGAAGAAGAAGTAAGGCGGTTGCTCAAGGCCGGCTTCATAAGGGAGGTCAAGTACCCAACTTGGCTGTCAAATCCAGTCTTCGTTCGGAAGGCTTCAGGACTTTGGCGAATGTGCATAGACTTCACAAACTTAAACGCGGCCTGCCCCAAGGACGCGTATCCTTTGCCAAGAATCGACCAACTCATAGACGCAACCGCCAATCATGAAAGCTTAAGCTTCCTCGACATGTTTTCAGGTTATCACCAAATTCGTCTATCAGAAGAAGATCAAGAGAAGACCGCATTCATGACCCACATGGGAAACTTCTGTTACACGGTCATGCCTTTCGGCCTCAAGAACGCGGGTGCAACGTACCAAAGAATGATAGACGCGGTCTTCAAAAGCCAGCTAGGAAGGAACATTGAGGCGTACGTGGATGATGTGTTGGTCAAAATCAAGAAGGAGGAGGATCACCTGACAGACCTGAAAGAAACCTTCGAAAGCTTGAGAAAAGAGCGCCTGCGTTTAAACCCGCTCAAGTGCGTGTTTGGCGCCAAGGCAGGAAAGTTCCTAGGGTTCATGATTACCCGAAGAGGGATAGAGGCAAACCCAAAGCAGATAGAGGCAATCACAAGCTTGAGGCCGCCCCAGACTGTCAAAGAGATTCAAGCATTCAATGGAAAAATGGCCGCTTTGAGCCGTTTCATTCCTCGAGCTGCAGATAATTGCTCTCCATTCTTTCAAATGCTCAAGAAATCAGCGTCTCGTTCTCAGTGGAGCGCAGAGTGCGACAAGGCGTTCTTCCAGTTAACGGAACAACTCACCTCGCTGCCAGTCTTGAGTGCCCCGCAGCCGGGCGGGCCGTTATATCTCTACCTGGCGGTCTCGGACCAAGCAGTTAGTTTAGTCTTAGTAAGAAGAGATGGGGATGGCTCAGACCGCCCCATCTATTATGTGAGCAAGGCGCTCCTCCCAGCAGAAAAGCGATACATGCCAATCGAACGAGCGGTCTTGGCGGTTGTCACAGCCGCCAGAAAGCTCCGCCCTTATTTTCAAGGGCATCAGATTGTCATTCTCTCAAATCTCCCACTACGAAGAATCCTGAAAGGAATGGACGTATCCGGTCGGATGACCAAATGGGCGGTCGAACTCAGTGAGTACGATATTGCATACGCCCCGCGACCTGCCATCAAAGGACAAGTGTTAGCTGATTTCATCGCCGAAGGATTCAGCATAGGAAGTGTAGAGGAGAATGCAGAAGTTTGGCGTCTATTCGTCGATGGGGCAGCCGGAAAGGGAGGAGCAGGAGCAGGAGCAGGAGCAGGAATAGTCATTGAAACACCCGCAGGGGTGGTTCATGAGATATCTCACCGTTTCCTTGAGCTGAAAACCAACAATGTAGCAAATTACGAAGCGCTTCTCAGCGGATTGAAGAATGCGGTCAACATGGGAGCCTCCCGCATCCATATATATTCTGACTCATTGTTGGTAGTCAACCAGGTGCTAGAAAGTTATGAAGTCAAGGAGGAAGCGCTCGCCGAGTTAGCAGGGGCAGTAAAGGGAATCTTGTCTCAACTGGACTATTGGAAGCTGGAGCATGTGAAGAGGGAAGACAATCATCACGCGGACGCCTTATCCAAATTGGCGACCGCCATGGATTTTGAAGGGGAGTGACGAATAACGGTAACCAAGGAGGTGGCCCCAGCGTGTGAAGTGATGGCTCTAGAAGAGGAGAACTTCGACTGGCGGTCCCCGCTAGTC